TGTGTGTGTGTGTGTGTGTGTGTGTGTGTGTGTGTGTGTGTGTGTGTTGGATGGTGGGAGGGGTGGGGTAGAGTTAGCTAGGCGTTAGGCGCCTAGTGAGGTTGGACCCCCGAGAGGAAACCCAGTTCTCTTTCCTCCGAAGGCTTCGGACACAAGTGACCTCATTTGGGGCTGTCCTGTTGCGACGGTGTTAGGGCAGGCGGAGGGGTCAGCTAGCAAGACGGAGGGGTCAGGGTTTCACCCTCTGAGGCCTGTTCCTCGCACTTGAGATTTCACTATCCACTCTCCTGCCGTTCAATCAATCATGTTCCCCTTCTCCATTTTATTCGAAACGGTCTTCCAGTTCCCTCATAATCGTAATTTGCACCATTGCCTTTTATCTTTGATTAATTAGGAAATCGAAAAAGATAATGGAGGGTCGGGCCAATAAATTAGCCTTAGAAGCCGACTGACGGACGTCTGGGGCTGCTGTGTGGGTGGGCGCTGTCCGCAGAGGCTGATGGAGGCTGCCGCCGGCCGGGCAGAAAGGGGTTAAGTAAAAGCGCGCGGTGCCTGCAGAGTGGAGAGATCCGCTCTGAGACAAACCCAGTGGCCTCAAGCAAAGACTTCTCCCTTATTAAGTGGAGAGTCTCCAGTGATTTTTAGCTTTTCCTGTTTGGGTCTAGAAAAGGAGGAGAGGGCTGGGGTAGGGTGAGGGCGGGACTCCTGTTTCTTCCAAAGAGGCCTCCCTACTAGCGCATGAACAGGTTTAAAGTTTGGTGTCTTTACGCTGGGGTCTATTTCTTCCAGGAATATAAAGTTATATTTACTTTTGCACACTTTCCTTCCCTCTCCACTTGCCTACTAGTCTGAAGGAGGGTGGGAGGAAGGGAAAAAGAGAGGGAGACAGAGAGAAAGAGAGAGCGATTGAGAGATTCTGCTTTTATGATCAAATCAGTAACTCCCTGGCCCAAGAGGAAAGCTCATGGAGTTGTTCCCTGCCCTCGCCGAGGCGCCGGGCGGGTTCCAGATTCTTCTTTTCGCCCTCCGCGAAATCGATCACGCCTCCCAGACGGCTGAAGGAGAGCACTCTGCCACTCTTCACGGCTTCGCCCCAGCCTCTTTAGCTTCCAATTGAAAACCAATTAAAGGTTTCTATAAATCTGTTAGTTCCCCTTTTATCTGGAGACCCCTGATGCATGCGATATTGCCCTTTAGATGCCTCTTCCGTGTTTTGTTTTACAATTGTTGTATCAATATAATGCGGCCTTTCTTCTCCTGTCTCTATAGATACAGATACACAAGGAAAACCAAAGCTATTCAGTCTCCTCATTTGTCCAGCAGCCTAACAGTGGTGCCCTTTCTCTGCTCTGCTTTCCCTGCTTCAGGAGCAGCAGTTATGGTAGAAGCAGATGGCTACTGATTGGGGGAGCTTTGTGGCTCTAATACTGAATACTTTATGGAAAAGGACTTTATCATGCTTCGTTGGGCAGAGGAACAAGGGGATGAGATTTATGGCCAGGAAAAATAAATCTTTTCCAAGTTGCAGCTCCTTCTCACCAGTTGTTGCCTTTGCCCTGGGTGGGGGGGGGGGGGGGGGGGGCAGGTGTTGAAACACTGAGGAATTGGTTTTATTTCATTTCATTCTCCTTTCTGCTAACACGGTTTTAGTCAGGGTCTAAGAGGAGAGCAGAAGAAGAGCCAGAAGTTTATAAAATACCTTAGATTGCTGTTGCTGCATCAGTATTCTCTGCCCTCAGGAATAAAGCAGAAGGGTATGGTCTTGAATGCTGTTTGGGGCCATGTTTCCCCCAATGTCCTGTTAGTTCCTGGTAAAACATCATCCTCCATTATCCTATTATCTATAGAAAACAAAAAAGCATGTTAGTGCTTCCATCTGAAAAATCAGAAGACACTAGTATTGAAGGAGTGGGGCAGTGATGAGGCATATGGTGATGTACGTATGCTCCCCTTCTTTGCAAGGGTCTGAGCTCTAAGGATGATTAAGGGATGTCTGTGAATGTGAGCTCCTGGACTCTTAATTGAATTTTCAAGCTTTGGGGAATATACAGATCCCAACCCTCCACTAAAGGCCTAATTCACCCCAAGATAATTCACCCCTGTGTCTTCCCCTCCCAGAAGCCAAGACATAATGTCACTCAGAAATGCTCGTAACATGGCTACGGGCAGCCAGGTGCAGAGAGATGGAAGACAACCCCAATTCTGGGTCCTCCATTCCATTTCAGACAGACTCCTTGCCTCATTAATATCTGAAATGCCATTTTTTTACTCAAGAAACATTTGTTGAGCATCTTCCATGTTCTAAGTTCCTCTACCCTGCCTTTCCTATTCTATTACCTTGACCCTAGAAACTGAAGAGGAAAGGCCAAGAAGGAAAGGCATGCAGGTTTCACAAGTGTCACCTACCTTACTGCCACAAGCTGCTTCTTCCCAATTCTGTGTGCACCACAACCCACACAGCAACATGCACCTTTGCATTCTGCTTCTCTCTGAAGAGGATACAAAGATTAGGAGAGCTAAGATTTAAAAATTATGTTTACTCAGCATTTCAAAGTAGCAGGCACTGAGGTGCTTTAATTAACTGTTTAGGCTCTTACTATGTGCTAGACTGAATGCTCCCATAGGCTTATTGCATTTAATTCTTATGACCCTTTGAGTTAAGTATTATTAATGCTAGTTCACACGTCCCCTTCCTTCACAGGAAATAGAAGAACAGAGAAGTTAACCCAAGCTAGTGGTCCAGCTGGGTTCTGAACCCAGGCTTGCTTTTACAATATTCATAGCCACCCTATGAGACAAATGGTGTTTATGCTATTCTCCAAATAAGGAAACTAAAGCTCAGAGAGATTAGGTGATTTGCTCAACGACACACAGCTAGTAGACTGCAGACCTGGGGTTCAAACAGAAGTGTTCAGGATCCCAAATTTTGACCTCTTAACCACTGGTTCCAGGACCCTTCAGAAGAAAGAGCCCACACTGATCTCTGTTACCTGTCCCTGCCCGGGCAAGAGGTTTCGCAGAGTGTGAGACTGTAGGCCTGCGGCAAACGGAGCGCGCCTGCCCAGGGCTGCGGCTGCGCGAAGCCGATGGGGCCCAGGGAGAAGGCTCTGCCCGGCAGCGCCGCCCCAGAGACTGGGCTCCGTCGGCCGCGCGGCCCACAAGGCCCCGCGCAGAACGCGTGCGGGCGTCTGGGGCGAGGCGGGGCCGGGACGGGACCGCGAGGCTGAGGTCCCGGCTGCAACGCCACGTCCCGCAGAGCTACCCAGGCTAGGGTGTGGAGGGGAGGTACGGGGATGCCCACCCTGCTTCCGGGCCCGCCTGTTCCCGAGGGCCGCAGCTGATCCCCGGCCTTTGGAGGGAGAAGAAGTGCCGCGCCGCTCCGAGGCCCTGAGCCCTGGTGGGAGCGGGCGACCCAGGCTTCAGGTTTCTCTGGCCGGCCAGGCTTTGGCTTTCTGGCCGCGGCACTTGAGCCAGTCAGCGATGCGTTCACAGGCTTCTTACCCCATCGGGTGGTAGTGCCCGGACTTCCCTGCGTTTCTAACTTGCGCCGCTGCCAGGTCAAAAGAAAGGACTCACGGCCGGGATTAGGGATAGAAGAAGTCCAATCTCCCAGCCTACCAGCCAAAAACAGCTCGCTCTTCCGTAAAGTCTGTTTGGGCCCTTCCTTTGGCCGTAGAAGGGATTCCTGAACACCTGACGCATTCCTCCCGCCTGCTTATTTTATCCTCCAGTACCTCCTTCCGGTGTTCCTAGAAACATCGAGAAATCCTCAGCCTTCACTGAGTGGCTTTGAAGGCGGGTGCACAATACAATTCTTAAATTTTCTGAAAAGGAAGCTAAGGCAGTGTTACTAACGGTAACAGT